ACAATTCTCCTGGAATCAGGAAAGACCTTGAAAGAGACAGACTCACCCACATACTCATCCATGTTGAAAGTCTTCACATATTTGAAGGACAGGTCTCCATTCTTATAATACTCAATCAGCTTCTTGTAGCAGCCAATTGGGGTGCTCCCTGTAAGAGAGGCCACAGCCATGAATTCCCTTTAGCTCCCAGCTCCTGAAGATGCCCAGCTGGGCTGCTCAGCAAGGAGAACCTATCAGATCTGAGAGAACATGTCAGATATGGAGTCCTATCCCAATGCTCCAATCCTAACTGCTCTGAATGCCTACTTCCCCACTAGACTGTAAGCTCAAGGAGGGCAGGGCCGTGTCTGTCCCGTTCACTGCTGAATCCCAGTGCTCAGGACACGGCTGACTGAAATGACCATGATGAGTAACCTGAGTGAACATCACCTTACTTACTGACACGATATTCCCTGAGCAACTAGCATGTGAGGCAGGGGGCCACGTGATGAGAACACAGGAGCAGGAGACACAGCAGCCGCTTTGGAAGAGCTCACCCTGTAGGACTGGGAACATGAAACAGTAGTGTCAGCTATGATCAGGGTAAGTCTGTAGGTTCACAGAAGACTTCCCTGAGGAGCAGCAAACTCCTGCGAGTTGAGGGTCATTAAAAAGTCAATGTCATAAAGCACGTGAAAAAGGCAGGACTTCCATAGATTAAAAAAGTAAATATTCATGAAGTCTGGATACAGGCTTATTGGGGGGAAAACTATAAAACATAAATGTGGATGATGTGGAAAGAAATGTTACTGTAGTCTGTATATCTGATGATATTATGGAAGGATTTTTAATAGGGATAATAATAGCATTGTAGTTATGTAAGAGAATGTCCTTATTCTGAGGAGATACATGCCAAAAGATTTAAAGGTAAAGTGTCAGGAGGTTGGGAACTTACTTTCAAGTGGCTCATAAAAAAGTGTGTGTGTGTGTGTGTGTGTGTGTGTGTGTGTGTGTGTAGAGAGAGAGAGAGAGAGAGAACATGAGACAGAAGAGAAGAAGGAAACTGTGGCAAATTTTAACAACTGGTGAGCCCAGGAAAATGGTACTACACTATTCTTCAAGCTTTTGTGAATATTTGAAATTCTTAAAAATAAGATGATGAAAAGAAAAATGACCCACCCAAATCAGATCACTCTTTTCACAAACTACTAATGGCTTCACATTTCACTGAGTAATAATCCTAACAAAATATGTACATAATTTGGCCCCTGGTTACCTCTCTCACCCTTACTGATCCTGCTCCTTGCAATGCCACCTCAGGGCTTTTGCACATACTGTTCCCTTTGCCAGCAGTGCTCTCCCTTCAGATATTTGCATAACTCTCACTTCTTCTGGCCTTTACTCAAACATCACTTTCTCAGATGGACCTTCCCCACCACCATATCTGATATTGCAAACCCCCACCCCTGTCTAGATACACCCTAACCCCTTTCACTGTTTCATTTTTCTCATTCACTCATCACCATCTAACATACTTTATTTGTCGACTTATTATCTGTCTCTCCTCCTACACTTAAAGATTTAGGAAGGAAGGAATTTGTTTCTTTTGTTTGTTGTTGTATCACCAGTGCCTAGAACAGCTTGGCATACAGCCGGCATTCAATAAATAACCTGTTGAATGAATGAAAGTTCCCTCCCTGCCCCCATAATCAATCTGTCCCTGTGACATGGCCTCAGCCATGCCTGAGCCACACAGCTTCTCTATCCTTCCCCTGAGCTTCATCATGTGCATTTTCCAAATTTCTAGCTTTCCCATCAATTCTGTGAGCTCCCCAATATCTAACCAATAAATTCCTTTTCTGCTTGAGTTAGCTAGAGTTGGTTTATTTGGTTTCCACCAATTAAAGATGTTTTCACCTTTTAGATGTTTCACCTAAAAGAAGGGATGTTCCAAGGAACCCTTATATGGACATGCCATGCTGGTTCAAGCAGGACAGGAAGGAGCCAGGTCTTGGAAGGCCCTGAATGCCACACTGAGGAGCCGGGATCTGATTATGCAGGTGATGGGGAATTAGGGAGGGATTTCAGCAGCATAGACTCTGACCTAGAATAGCTCTAGTTACCAAACAGGATGTTAGTGCAGCCCCCACAGGGACTGAGACATTGGTGGTTTTCCAGGTACGTGTAGATACTGCTCCCACAAACCTCTAGTGCACAGGTCAGCAAACTTCACACTACAGGCCCAAACTAGCCTGCTCCCTCTTTTTGTGCAGCTCATCAGTGAAGAATGGCTTATAAATATCAAAAGAATATTACTTTGTGACATATGAGAATTATATAAATTCAAACTTCAATGTCCATAGATAAAGCTTTATTGGTGGACGGCCATGTACATTCATCTATGTACTGTCTGCAGCTGCTTTTGAGCTACAAGGACAGTGAAATAGTTGCAACAGAGGCTATATGGCCAGTGAAGTGTAAAATATTGACTAAGTGACCATTTACAGAAAAGGTGTGAAGGTCCCTGCTCTAGTGGATGGGACAATGAGGGGCAGATCCACCCAAACTTAGAAAGAAAGAATCAGGACATTTGCCTTAAGGAGCTGAGGTCAAAATATCCTCCCATAAAGGCAACATTCTGATTTTTTCCATAGGAAACTGGGACGTTTATGGAGGTTCCTCAAAAAATTAAAAATAGAACTACCCTACGACCCAGCAGTTGCACTACTAGGTATTTATCCAAAGGATACAGTTAAACTGTGTTGAAGGGGCACATGTACCCCAAGGTTTACAGCAGCACTATCAACAATAGCCATAGTATGGAAAGAGCCCAAATGTCCATCAATGGGTGTATATGTGTGTGTGTGTGTGTGTGTGTGTGTGTGTACACACACACACAATGGAGTATTATTCGGCAACCAAAAAGAATGAAATCTTGCCATCTGCAACAACATGAATGGAACTAGACTATATTATGCTAAGTGAAATTAGAGAAGAACAAACATATGACTTCACTCATATGTGGAATTTCAGCTACAAAACAGATGAACATAAGGTAAGGGAAGCAAAAATAATATAAAAATAGGGATGGGGACAAAACATCAGAGACTCTTAAATGTAGAGAACTGAGGGTTGCTGGAGGGGTTGTGGGCAGGGGGATGGGTTAAATGGGCAAAGGGCATTAAGGAGGACACTTGTTGGGATGACCACTGGGTGTTTATACGTAGGGGATGAATCACTGGATTCTATTCCTGAAATCATTATTGCACTATATGCTAACTAACTTGGATGTACATTAAAAATGAATGAATGAATGAATGAATGAATGAATGAAGAAACTGGGACTGTTTTTCACTTAGGTCCTGTGTTTAATTAATTATAGAAAATGCTTTGAGTGGACTATCTTCTCAATTCTCCCAAGGATAATGCTCAGCTAGTAGCACTTTAGATGCACAAAAATTCATTCATTACATAAAATGTATGCCTGAAGACATTACGACTCAGTTCTGTTAAGGACTTCTGGTGGGAAGACTTAGAATGGAGTCTAAAAATCAGGTTATTCCTGCCTAACCAGGATCCCTTCTATACCAGAACTCTTTAGGAGAAGGCAGCAACTAAACCAGACCATAAAGGAAACTGTCCTCTGTTTTGCATGTCCAGGAAACAAGGTTGTTCACTCATAGCACCAGCACCTCAGAGCCCTCCTTCAAAGTCTCTTGGCTTAATGAGCCCATGAACCTGGTCCCTTAAAAACCCCAGATGCTCACTCTCTCCCCCTGCCTCCAGTCCATGGCACCTTCTCTATACCACAACGCACCAGTGGGAAGTCCCAGGGTGAAGTACTGGTCTGGCCCTGGGTTAAACTGGATGATGCGATTCCTGATGTACTTGGCTGCCCACTCGCTGGCCTGAGAATAATGGTCCAGGATGATGAGCTTCATCTTGTCCTGTAGGGGACAGGCGACAAAAGGAATCAGTGGTAAGGGACAGGAATAAAGGGAGGGATGCAGGTGGCTGGGGAGAGGGGAGAAGCCCTTCTCACCCAGCAACACCCTCTGCCTAGGCTGATGAGCCAGGAAGAGGAAAAGATCCCAACTTTCAGCTCACAGAGGAATAGGCTGGGCCAAGTGCCTCCACCACCCACCAGGAGGCGCTGCTGTGAGACAGACCTGGGTTCTAATCTCCGTTCCTCCATTTACCAGCGGCAGAACCTTAGTCAAAGGACTCAAGATCTTCGAGACTGCTTCCTCAGGCATGAAAATGGGGACAGTACCTCCCTGACAAATTTCACGATGGTGAATATTAAATAAGGATGCATGTAAACCATACTGTTTAATATGTTGGCAATTACTTTGTAGCTCGACCCAGCCCTCTTTCCCGACCCCTCTTCCCCCATCCGCTGGATATTTTGTACCTACGGCCTCTTCCTCAATAAACAGAGGTGTAGTGGTATACTGGGACGCTAGAGCAGGTGAGATCCACGGGTTTTGCCTGTAGAGGTGTGTTCTCTTATCAGTGCTGGAGTGGGTGCTCCCACCGGCCTGGCTTGCTTTGTGGACTCTCAGTTTCCCCCACAGCGTATGGGGGAAAATGTAACCGCTCCGCAAGGAGGGCGTCTGCTACCCTCTCACTGCGGTCAGTTAGAGTGAGAGGCGGAAGTGTCTGGATCAGCCATCGAAAGGATACGGGTGTGCCTTTCCGACCCCGATGGCGATCCCATCGCCCCTCCGGCCCTGCATGGGGAAGGGATCCCAGCAGCTCGCTGGCTCACGGTCCCCGGGGGACCAGAGGCAGGGGCAACGCTCGGGCCCGGCCCGCGCCCACCCGCGAGGAGGGTCCCCGCCAGCCCGGTACCCACTTACTCCGACACCTCCCGCGGCGGCTGCAGCAACTGTGCTGGCGGCCCCGCCCCGCGCGGGTCACGTGGCACCGGGTCACGCGGAGCAGCTCTCAGCCGGAGGGGCTGACTCGTCCGGGTGATTGCGGGGCCCTGGCTCCCGGTGGACTGTGCCCTGACCGGGGCCAGCCACCCTTTCATCTCCGCTCCAGGGACGCGCAGGGCTGGGAACAGCCGTGGGAGGCGAGGCTTGGAGACTGGGTTCGTGCAAGAGTCCGGGGACTTGGGGGCCTCAGGTGACTCCCAGGAATGCAGTGCTGGGCCTGGGGTTGGGGCCTGAGTTTTAGTGCTGGGGAAGGGTGGGGGCAGGAAGAGCAAAATCGCTTCCTTCGAGTCTCCTAGAGTTGGGCCTAGCTCTGCCTTCAGGTTAACTTTTAGATGTCATGGTTTTACCTAGATATTACAACCTCTTTGCTTTAAATATAATTGGATTTTTCTTGCTTTATTTTTAAAGCTTAATCTTTACAGCAATCTATACTAAAGAAAAGGGAAGGTCCCTGGTCTTCCCAGGTCTCCATGTCAAGGTAACATTGCTAACAAAAATGACATGAAAACAGGGAGGGGGACAAAACATAAGAGACCCTTAAATACAGAGAACAAACCGAGGGTTGCTGGAGGGGTTGTTGGGGTGAGGATGGGCTAAATGGCTAAAGGGCATTAAGGAATCCACTCCTGAAACCATTGTTGCACTATATGCTAACTAACTTGGATGTAAAAAAAAAAAAAAAAAAAAGATAACATTGCTAACAGTTTAGACTACATTTCCAAATTGTTTTTCCTTGAATGCGCTTCTATTTTACAGAAATGGGAACACACCACACAATGAGCTAGGTGGCCACATTCTGCAGTTCCTGTCATTGGGCTCCCGGCTCCCCGTGGGCCCACCTGCAGCTCCAGGCCAGCTTGATAGAGGTGGTGTTAGTCTGGTGAGGCCCTGATGAGAAGGAGTGGTGGAGCTAATTTGCAGGGGGAAAAAATGCAGTCAGAAATCTTATTTCCACATGAGGACCGTAGATGTTTCACAACCCCAGTCTCCAAACGCATCAGATAAATGGGGGCGGGGGGGGGGGTGCTCATCAGCAGCTGCCTTCAGGTCTGTCCAGGAAGAATGACTTCATGTGACTTTAAGCGGGCCTGTCCCTTCCACCCCAACCCCCATTACCTTTTTGTAGGGAACCAGTTCCAGGTCCATGTCAAGGCTGGCAGCTCTGGAATCAGAGAGCTTAGGGACAGATCAGAAAGATCTGGTAGTCAATTCCCAGTTCTTGAGTGAGTGACTCAAAGGACTCAACCTCTCCAGCTCTGAATTTTCTCTTCTGGAACAAGGGGTTTGAGTGGGATTAGTAACATTGACCTTATGTATTTGTTGGAAGTATTCGATGATACAGTAGTATAGCTTGGCTTTCATGGCCAGCCATCATTACCCCTTATTTCCTCCCACCTTCCTTACAGCCCACTCTCCACCCTCCAAATGTTCTCTACCCTAACCTCCTGCCCCCTCATGTTCCTCCCACTGCATGCCTGGGGTTCATCTTACCCACACCCTGCCTTCCGTCCTCTTGTAGAACCAAAATGGGCTAATTAAAAGAATTGTGGATTCACCCATAGAGTGGAACATTCTGCAGCTCTCCTGTGACAGATGTTTTTCTACTCTTTGATTGCCCCTGTTCCGAGTAAACATCTGGCCCCCAGGCCCAGAAAATCCTGCTGGGTCCCCAGGGTTCATACGAGTTTTGTGAAGCTGGCCCTGCCCTTTGGCCTAAGATCTAATCAATTAGAGAGCTCTAGGCAGACAGGGAAGATACTAACCCAAGGGCGGCTCACAGGCTCCCTTCTCCTTTGTGGCTTCCCACTGTGGCCGCTGGAAAGTTAACTACTCTCTCAGCTCCTCAGCCAGGATGTGGCCCGGTAACCTAGTTCGGGACAATGAAGTAAAAAGATGGCTCTGGGAAGTTACTTTACTTTCAGAGAAAAGTGACATGCTTGCCAAACAGTCTCTGTTCCTTGCCTTTTCTTCTTGCCGTGAAGGCAGATGTGATGCCTGGAGCTGGAAAAGCCATGTTATAACCATGAGGCAATAAGTGTAAGGATAGAGTGAGGGCTAGAAAGAACTTCTTAATATTTGACCAATGCTGGGACTCCTGCTTCTGGACTTCTCCTAAGTAAATAACAAATATCCTTATGGTTTAAACTTTAAGTCACTGTTAGAGTTTTCTGTGACTTGAAATTGAAGACATGACTCATTGTTACAGCAGATGACTCAGGTCTTCCTTGGGGTTTATGCTGGTATTTTGAGGATATACATTTGGGGGAGCTGTAAAATCCAGGAAAGCTTAGAACTGCCAATGAGAAAAGTAGAACCATCTAAAACAGATACCGAACCCTGATGACATCATTTGAGCCATGTCTGAAGCCAGATATATCGTTAAGTTCAATAACCGGGTGAATGGATGAGTGAAAACATAGGTAATTTTTTTTTTTTTTTTTTTTTACCATGAGACTAGTTAGAGGAAATTCTGGAAGGATACTTATCTATTGCTGCACAATAGATTATCCCAAAACTCAATGACTGAAAACAGTAAGTTCAGTAAGGGCTACAAAGAAATGTGCTGTCAAGCCATGAAAAGACCTGAAAGGAAACTCAAGTGTGTTATCACTGAGAGAAGCCAGTCTGAATAGGCTATGTCTACTGTAATATTCCAAACGTGTAACATTGTGGAAAAGGCAAAACTAGAGAGATGGTAAAAAAAAAAAAAAAAAAAAAAAAAATCAGTGGTTGCCAGCAGTTAGGGAGGAGGAAGGAATGAATAAGTGGAACACAGAGAACTCTTAGGGCAGTGAAACCATTCTGTAAGATGCTATAATGGTAGATACAGGTCTCTATACACGTGTCTAAATCTATGGAATGTGCAAGAATGAGCCCCTATGAAAACTATAGGCTTTGGCGGATTACAATGAATAAGTGTAAGTTCATCGGTTCCAACAAACGTACCACTCTGGTGGGAGATGGTGATAACCAGGGAGGATGTGCATGTGTAGGCACAGGAGGTATATGGGCATTCTCTGTACCTTCTCTCTCTCTTTTTTTTTTTTTAACATTTATTTATTTTTGAGAGAGAGTGTGTGTGTGAGTGGGAGATCTTCAGAGTGAGAGAAGGGCAGAGGATCTGAGGCAGGCTCTGCGCTGACAGCATAGAGCCCAGTGTGGGGCTGGAACCCACAAACCGTGAGACCGTGACCTGAGTCAAAATAGGAAGCTTAACTGACGGAGCCCCCTGGGTGCCCCGTACCTTCCTTTCAATTTTGCTGTGAACCTAAAACTGCTCTGAAGAATCCTTTTAAAAACATGTATTTTTAATCATCTCTCATGATTTCTAATGTGCTAGACATTCACACAGGGTACAGTGGAGCCTCAAATGTAAGACTCACAGGCTGGAGCTGGAATCATGAGGTTCATTTACTCACAGGCCTGGTGGTTGATGCTGGCTGTCGGCTGGAACACTCACATAGGGCCTCTCCCTGTGGCCTGGGCTTCCTCACAACATGGTGGCTGGGTTCCAAGGGCAACCATATCCAACAGACGTGAATGGCTTGTCATGGAATGGACTTCAGAGCCACACTCTCTGGCTATGAATCTCAGCTCTACCATTTACTGATTGGGTAACTTCTGGTAAGTCACTTAATTTCTCTGTGCCCTGATTGCTTCATCCATAAAATATGAAAAATATCTTCCTTATAGTATATGCTATTATAACCAAGAATAATTACCTCGGGGAGGAACAAATGATCTTAATAGATGTCAGACACTTAGAACAGTGCCTGGCACAGTTAGCCATCGCTAAGGGATCATTTTGAGATGGGTCTCAAAAGAGAATTAGGATTTGGTCATTGAAGAAGAGGGAGAAGGCATTATAGACAGGGATTATCAAAGGCACAGAGGCACAGAGGCTGCGGGTAAGGTGTTCACCAATTCAAGAAGTAAAAACACAGGACACAGTTAAATTTGAATTATTTCTAATGCCTATTTGCATATACTTTGAGATAAAAAAAATTACATGAGACATACTTATTCTAAAAACAGAGTTGTTTATCTGAAATAAATTCTAAGTATCTAAATTACACACCTGTTTATTTCATTATATTTCCCTGGTTATTTGGTTCTCCTTAATAGTTCCTCGTTTTGCAGAATTTGCTTATAAAATTCCCTGAAGTTACAGTCTTTGTTCCATTTACATGTTAACATGATTTCTGCAGTGATCACATTCTTTTTTTTTTTTTTTTAAGTTTATTTATTTTGAGAGAGAGCGAGAGCAGGGGAGAGGCAGAGAGAGAGGGAGAGAGAATCTCAGGCAGGCCATACACTGTCAGCACGGAGCCTGATGCGGGGCTCGAACTCACAAACTGGGAGATCGTGACCTGAGCTGAAATCAAGAGTTGGACGCTTAACCGACTGAGCTCCCCAGGAACCCCACATTCAACTTATGCTGTTCCTGACCAGTGAACATTTGTTAATGAGAAATCGTGCTCAGCATTAGCATTATGAGCCAGCATATGGAACATCTACTTGCAAAAAGTTACCAACCCTGAGCGTTGCGCTTCAAATGTGATTGGCTGAAGCACATGATACCATCTTTCACTGCATCTCTTGATCAATAATTTTGTAAAATGTCCACCAGCAAAAAGCATGGTCTTCAATTTTTGTTCGTTTTTTTCTTCTGTGTTACCCATGTTGATTCTACTTGTTCCCATGCTAAAAGAGTGTTGAGTAACATCCAAGTAAAATAGTCAAATTTTGTAATGGATGAAACCCATTTCAAAAGATAATCATGGCAGGTGCTGAAATAGTTATCTACTGGACTGAAATTTATTTTCTGGTTCATACATAATGTCCTTTTTAACAAGAGTTTTGATAATAAAAGGGACAAGTTTTTCATCAATTCTCGTTTAACACATTCAACAAGTTCCTTAGTAATGGAGCACCTCCATTACACTGTTAGCTGTTCTTTCAATTTGCACAATCCTACTGCCAAGTTGATACTGAAAACTATGAACAAGAAATAAGTAGGGGCACCTGAGTTGGCTCAGTCAGTTGAGCGACTGACATCAGCTCGGGTCATGATCTCACAGGGTTCATTGGTTTGAGTCCCGGGTCGGACCGTGTGCTGACAGCTCAGAGCCTGGAGCCTGCTTTGGATTCTTTGTCTCCCTCTCTCTCTGCTTCTCCCCTACTCTCTCTCTCGCTCTCTCTCTCTCTCTCTCTCTCTCTCTCTCAAAAAAGAAAAACATTAAAAAATGTAAAAAAAAAAAAAGAAAGAAAGAAAGAAAGAAAAAAAAGAAAGAAAAAGAAGTAAACTTCATTCAATGCATTATTTAAAAAACCAACAGGGGGCGCCTGGGTGGCTCAGTCGGTTAAGCGTCCGACTCCACCTCAGGTCAGGATCTTGTCGACCGTGAGTTCGAGCCTCGCGTCAGGCTCTGTGCTGACACCTCAGAGCCTGGAGCCTGTTTCAGATTCTGTGTCTCCCTCTCTCTCTGACCCTCCCCTGTTCATGATCTGACTCTCTCTGTCTCAAAAATAAATAAACGTTAAAATAAAAAAATTTAAAAAAAAAAGCCAACAGGAATTTTGAACCAACTGGCTTCTTAGAGAGTATTTCTTAGAGAAGAAAACCCTTTTCTTTAGAATTCAAGTATCATCTCAGTCCTTCACATAAATGGAGGATTTTCTCAACTGTGTGTTAACGAGAATTAATGGTTTTTGAATGTAAGAGAAATGAAGAATACTGAATGCCACTAAAATCAAAATCCTTAAATTGCTCACTTAGAATAGTATCAATGCTGAAGTAAGAGAGCAATTTCATGACAGTTACTCCAATCTCAGTAAAAAAGACATGAGTGGTGACTGGGTGGCTCAGTCGATTAAGCATCCGACTTGGGCTCAGGTCCTGATCTCCTGGTTCCCGAGTTCGAGCACCATGTTGGGCTCTGTGCTGACAGCTCAGAGCCTGGAGCCTACTTCAGATTCTGCCTCCCTCTCTCTCTGCCCCTCCCCTGCTCATGCTCTGTCTCTCAAAAAGAAATAAACATTAAATTTTTATTTATTTATTTTTTAATTTTTTTTTCAACATTTATTTATTTTTGGGACAGAGAGAGACAGAGCATGAACGGGGGAGGGGCAGAGAGAGAAGGAGACACAGAATCGGAAACAGGCTCCAGGCTCTGAGCCATCAGCCCAGAACCTGACGCGGGGCTCGAACTCGCGGACCGCGAGATCGTGACCTGACTGAAGTCGGACGCTTAACCGACTGGGCCACCCAGGCGCCCCTAAATTTTTTTTAAAAAAAGACATCAGGTACTGTTGAGTAGCATTATGCAGAATATCAGCAGGATAACTAACCATAGAATTATTTATGTTGTGCTTCAACCTTGAATAAGCAGGATTTATACCCTTATACAAACATTCACCAAAAGTTATGTTCATATTATCTCCAACAAAAGCAGTAAAAAAATTTTCAACAGTTCTTTTTTTTATATACACAATAAAACTGTACATATTTCATGTATGTGATTTGATGAGTTCGGACATATGCATACCTCTGTGAACCATCACCACAGGCAAGGTAATACACATCTCCATCACCTCCAGAAGTTTCCTGGGCCCTTTGGGGGTGTGTGTGTGTGTGTGTGTGTGTGTGTGTGTGGTGAACTGTGTGTGTGTGATGAACTCAGTAAAAGAGTTTCTGCATAAATTTGCAGAAACTTTCTGAGGTCTTATCTGGAAGAGATTCTACTCAGAATAGCCCTATTAGCAAGCTTTTTTTAACCAGAAAAGTATTGCACGAAAGAAAAGTTGTTTCTGCCTTGAGATTACTTGCACTGTGGCTATGCCATAAGGTGAGACATTTAGATCTCTCATCATTTCAACAATACTAAATACAGGTTTCACAATTTTATTATAGAAGTGGATGCTACTATTTGAAAATTTTCTTACAATTTTAGAATCAGAAAACACTTTCAGCAGTAGTATCTTTGAATGGTTATTTGAGCTTGAAGACTGATGATGATATACAGTGTGGAACTCCATTACATTTCTGCTGCAAGTATTTTATCATTTTAACCTGAATCTCTCTTTTAAAAAAATCTGTTTATCACTGCCCTTAACACTAGTTGAGGAAATCATACATCTCTTATACGTAGCTGTTACCATATGCTGGTTTATATGTGGCTTTCCACCATTTTTAAAATATGAAATGACCAATTGCACACTGTGGAAACCTTAAAAGGAATTTTTCCTCGCTCACTAAATGACTATGCTCAGAAAGTTCACAAAATTTATGGTTGCTTTTGTTTGTGGGGGGTTCAAATATACACAAATAAAAAATAGACAATAGAAACAAGTCCAAGAGTCAAAGAGATTGAATGTGAAGAGCTCACAGGTGCAACAATGCACCTGCACTCCTAAGTCTGATCTCACAACCAATCATAAACAGGGGTCCAGATGTTAAAAGGACTGCATACTTGCAAACTAATATTAAATTGAACTTTATGTCTGACGCACAAAGATGAACTTCATGTTTGCTTGAAAGTGAGACGTGTGCTTTTACGGCCAAGTCTCCCGAACAAAGCTAGAGCTGATTTTCTGTAAGGGTGGGGAGAGTGTGACAAGGAGCTGGTGGACTTTCAGAACAGTAATTATTTAGGAATTTAAGGACCCTCAGCTGTGTTCGTCTATCGCTAGGGCAAGGCTGCCTTTGACTTGCTGACTTTGAAGCCCGGACTGTGGAATGAGGGACTTGCTGATTGGCTGTTGTCTAGGAGCACAGGGCTGTCACTGATTGGCTGGCTTTCAGAGGCATGGGGCTCTCCTTCCTCGAATCTCTCTCACTTTCGGAAGCCTGGTTACTGGGGTGAGTATCGTTGATTGGCTGATTTTCAGAACGAAAATCGCTATTTTTTAATAATGGTGGATAGTGTTCACCGCTTGGGACTTTAGCCAAAGAACAGTATTTTCCTTTCCTGAATGTGAAAATAAGTACCTTTAATTTGCAGCCTTCCCTTTTATACTTACCTCAGTTAAAGCTGCGGAGACCATAAGGAGTTGTCCAGATCTATATTGGTAGAGTTACGCTTTTCAGTTAGTGTGGCCATTTAATTGATTTAAATACCAATTATGGTGGAGGAAAAATAACTCTGAAACTTTTTAGTAACTTAATTTTAAAAAGCTGAGTACATGGCACACCTGGGTGGCTCAGTTGGTGGAGCATCCTCCTCTTGATTTCAGCTCAAATCAGCGTGGAAACTGCTTAAGATTCTCTGTCTCCCTCTGCCCCCTCCCCACTTTCTCTCTAAAATAAAAAAAAAATGGGGGGCCCTGGGTGACTCAGTCGGTTAAGCGTTCCACTCTTAATTTCAGTTCAGGTCATGATCTCCTGGTTAGTGAGATGGAACCCCGTGTCTGCTCTGTACTGACAATGCGGAACTTGCTTGGGATTCTCTCTCCCTCTCTCTCTGCCCCTTCCCTGCTCATGCTCTTTCTTTCTCTCTCAAAATAAATAAAAACATTTAAAAAATAAAATGATAATAAATTAGTTTTAAAAATAGGTTAATAAAAAAGCTGAATACGTTCAGGGCATCCTGAAAGTTAATAGATAGTTAATAGAGAGTGCAGGACAAAGTACAGAACATGTCCTCTATAAACTGGCAACTCTGGGGAAAGTTCAAGAGTAACAGAAGAATCCCCACCCCCAACCCCCAACAGAAGGAACTGTAATTCTCCTTTCCTCCTAAAAGGTCATTCATTATAGCCCTGCTTCTTAAAGGAGCATATTGGAAACAACGTAAGTGCCCATCATGGGGAAACTGGTTGGATAAAGTTTTGCACATCTATACAATGGCATATAATGCAGCAGTTAAAAAGGAGGAGTTCTGTGAACTGCTATAAATGACTACCCCCATAGTTAAGTTAAAAAAAAAAAAAAAAAAAGGACGGGGCACCTGGCTGACCTAGTCAGTTAAGTGTCTGACTTTGGCTTAGGTCATGATCTTGCTGTTCGTGGGTTTGAGCCCCACATTGAACTCTCTGCTGTCAGTGCAGAGCCCACTTTAGATCCTCTGTCCCCATCTCTCTTCCCCTCTCCCTCCTCAAAAAATAAATATTAAAAAAAATAGGGGTGGCTGCGTGGCTCAGTTGGTTGAGTGTCTGACTCTTGATTTTGGCTCACGTCATGATCTCGTGTGGTTTGTGAGTTCAAGCCCCACATCGGGCTCTGCACTGTCAGCTCAGAGCCTGCCTGGGATTCTCTCTCTCTTCCTCTCTCTCTGCCCCTCCCCTGCGCGCTCTCTCTCTCTCTCTCTCTCAAAATAAATAAATAAAACAGTTTTTTTAAATAAATAAAAGAACAGGATGCAGAACTCCAGGTATGGTATCATTTGCACTGAAGTATGCATGGGGGTCATGGAGGTAGAAATAAATACATGTTCCTATAGACTATCTCTGGAATGATATTCTAGAACAGTTGTGGTGATCTCCTTGGGGGAAGGAGAACTGAAAAGCTGGGGAGCTGAAGCAAAAGGAGCAGGAAGTCTTCCTTTTCATACTGCTTGATTTTTAAATTTTTTTAATCTATTTTACCTTGAGAGAGAGAGAGACAGTGCATGTGTGCATGAGTTGGGGGAGAGAGGGAGAGACAGAGAGAGAGAGAGAGAGAGAGAGAATCAAGCAGGCTGCACGCTCAGTGCGTAGCCTGATGTGGGGCTCAATCCCATGACCCTGGGATTATGACCCAAGAGTCAGAGTCAGATGCTCAACCGACTGAGCCACCCAGATGCCCCTTGTTTGATTTTTTTTATCCTTTGTAAGTGCGTTACCTATGCTAAATGCTTCTGATTATTTTTATTTTTTTTAAGTTTATTTATTTTGAGAGAGAGTGTATGTGCACACAAGCAGGGGAGGGGCAGAGAGAGAGAGGGAAAGAGAGAATCCCAAGCAGGTGCTGCGCTGTCAGTGCAGAGCCCGATGCAGGGCTCAATCTCACCAACTTCAAGATCATGACCTGAGCCAAAATCGAGACTCTGATGCTTAACGGACTGAGCCACCCAGGTGTCGCACTTGTAATTATTTTTAAAACAGTGGTTTCAAAAATCAAGCGTGTGACCTGGGCATAGACAAAAGGCACAGGTTTGATATGTTTGAGGGTGTGGACAGGATGTTTCCTGAGCCTGGTGACCCTTCCGCTCTAGGGTGGACTTCCGAGGCTGGTGGACCAGCTGTGTGGGATGTTTCCCACGTCTCCAAGTCTCTTCCACATCACAGAGCACAGGAAGCAGCCTGGGGCTGGAAGGAGAGCAATGTCATCCCACATAGCATATGACCAAGAAACAGAGCTCACAGTAAATGCACTAAATTTCACAGGCAGCCAAAGGAAACAGGAACCATTCTCATTATTCTGTGTAGAGTTCACTTCCTGGGAGCTCTCTGTTGCTGATGGAGATAAACAAACAAACAAACAAACAAAGAAGGGTACTCCATAGCCTCCTTGGAATTTCATAGCTGAAAGTCTTCTCCCTGGAGAGTCAGTCTGCCTTGAGAAGAATAGCTTCTTTCCTGGCAAAACCAGTTTTCTACACCACAGAATGTGTTACACAGAGTATGATAAGCACTGGAAAACAGAGAGTTTGGGAGCAGAACCCACTGTAGCAGATAACCACTGTCATCCTAGAAGCTGATGTTCACTGAGAAGGTATTGTGTTATGTGGACTGTGCTAGGTGCTTTGCGTGCATTATCATGTCAGTCCTTAGAACAACTCTATGGGGTAGGCACAGTTATTCCAATTCTACTAACAAGAAAACTGGTATACAGAGGTTTAGAATTTCACCTGAGGTCATGTAAATGGGTGATCTGGGGCTTGAACCCAGCTGTCGGCAGTCTTAGCCATTCAATCATACTTCCTCCAAAAGAGGGCTTATCCAACACAGCCTAAAAACCAGTTAAAAAGCACCAAGCATTCATTGAGCACCTACTGTGTGCCTGGGACCGGGAGAGGTACCATGGGAGACATTTGATGTTTGAGTGTTAGTGTGACTCTTGGAATGTGATTTTCTTTAATTGAGGTGAAATTCACATGACATGAAACTAACCATCTCAAAATGAACAATTCAGTGGCATTTAGTACAATCACAGTGTTGTATAGCC